AACGTCTGCAGCACGGCAAAAACTCTGTTACTGCGCGCACGTACCCAACCACCAAGATTGGGCTGATTTTCCCAAGCAGTCCATTTGCTCACCTTTAAAGTAAGGATAGGTTGCCCTTTCAAGCTTCTACAATGCACACCTATGCTTTTAATTACTCCTTTGTGGTTGGCTATATTGGACGAGCAACTAGGCACCTATCCAAACAGATGTGGGTAGACCATCCTTCACGAGTAGATCAAGGCAAGCCGAAGTTTACCTTTTGCGCATTAGGGCCACGACATATATGCCAACCAAGCTTTTTGGGTCATCTTTAAATTGTAGGCGAGGCACCACCAGTTCCTATTTCAGCGAAAGATACGATAGTCATGCAGTTAAGATGCCCAGGTTTGTGATCGCGTAATACGTTGAGGTTCAAGCTCCTAAAGCGCTCTGGCCAAAACTGACCTACACATGTTGGTCATCCCATCCTGCCGCGTCGCGTTACAACGACGAAGCAGAAAAATAACTTACCGGCATGTTTTGTTCCTTTCCCTAATCTCGACCTCCTCATGCCTCCTGACGAAATGAACTAAAATTACTCCAGAAATCTGATATTCTGAATGCCCTCAATCCTTTCCCTTTGACTTGGTATTCGCTGCTTAGTCGTAAAATACATACAATAGAAGAAAAGGAGGCGTTTACAGAGAGAGGTAGATTGAAGTTCTGACGCTTTGAGTAGTCATATCGTCCACCTATCTCCAGAGACTGGGAAGTCATGCACACAACTCTCCTTATATGGCTCACTTTGCTTGATGCCTGGCCCACCAATGCCACCTGTGTGGCTGTATCCGACCTGCATGTCACCATGACCTGATTCCCACTCGTTCTCGTCGGCCGCGACGATAGTTAACGACCCCAATTGTCCCGCACCGTGACTGTTCCTCGTCAAGAATGTCCGTAAAACCAAGTAGGGGGAGGTAAACTAATGCGGCGGTTGACAGAACAGTCGGTAGACATCCAGGCTTCTTGTACCTGCCTTGCCGTACGATCATCACCTCGGCCCACACTTTCAACGTCATCAAAGTTAAAGATGTGTCCACTTTGGGCGGCATGGGTTACTACCTCCGACTTTGGGTCTAACCTTCGCACGGCCAACTTATGCTCGTGCATCCGCGTTTGCAGCCGTCGGCCGGTTTCACCAACGTAGTTGCACATCCCACAGCTGCGCTGGAGTCGGTAGAAAACGGCCGAAATCTCTTGCTTAGGGATCGGGTCCTTTGGGTGCATCATTTGCCGGCGGATTCTTTAGTCGTGCCTGTGGGCAACGCAAATTCCGGGCTTGCAAACTGGCTATTTCAAAAGCTAAGATTCCTAACCGCGGGCTCATAAACAGCAGTGCACTCAGCAGAACGATTTCTTGACAAAAAGGGGCGATCACGATCGAAGCGAATGAGAGGATGGTGTCATTTGATGTCATTTCACTCTTCACATCCATATCGTAGGCCCTTGAGGTCGGTACACTCAGTGACCTGCTACGTCAAAATTACGATGATGGCAATGACCGGCCCACAGCTCAGGACATCAGAGAACTCATGGGGCACTGCCTCAAGACATGTTTACCTCCGAAGGGACCACATATGAGCAAATAAAGGGAACTCTGATCGGTTCACTAATTTTCGGGCTCATTGAAAAGACGGTTCTGCAAAAACTCGAGAAACTACTACTCGAGGAGTCTAAACCCAAGTTTTGGCGGGCTATGTTAATGACGTCTTCGTAATTATCAATTATTCCCGGTCTCCAGTTCACAATGGAAAAGGAAGTGGAGAGAAAACTTCCATTTTTGCCTGTTCTTGTCAGGCGCCAAACAAACGGTAAAGTAACGACGTCAGTCTCTAGAAAACCGACGAACACGCTGAAAATGCTCAGTTACAACAGTCATCGCCCACTGCAACACAAACGAACCTGCGCACACACGCTATAACGACGGGTGGAAAATCATTGCAGCACGCCAGCCACCAAACTGAACGAGATGAAGCTTCACCAAGAACGATTCAGAGCCAACACCTATCCGCGAGCATTCGTTAAACGGAGCCGAAGGCAGCCAAGGAAGCGGAATGAAGAACGTACTCAGCCAAAATCGTGGCGAAGCATTTCGTACATGAAAGGGGTTTCTGAAGCCGTGGCTAGTTCTTTCGCGTCCCTAGACATAGGCGTTGCCCACAGGCACGACTAAAGAATCCGCCGGCAAATGATGCACCCAAAGGACCCGATCCCTAAGCAAGAGATTTCGGCCGTTTTCTACCGACTCCAGCGCAGCTGTGGGATGTGCAACTACGTTGTTGAAACCGGCCGACGGCTGCAAACGCGGATGCACGAGCATAAGTTGGCCGTGCGAAGGTTGGACCCAAAGTCGGAGGTAGTAACCCATGCCGCCTAAGGCATCGAGAAAAGTGCGCCATATAAGGAGAGTTCTGTGAATGACTTCCCGGTCCCTGAAGATGGGTAGAAGAAACGACTACTCAAAACGTCAGAACTCCAATACACCTCTCCCGGTAAACGTCTCCTTCTCTTTTGATATGCCACCTGGGAATCGCATTTTCACTACTTTTCACATACATTAATGTTGTGGAAATTCCCAAGGCATTATCCGGAAGACTGGCTGGCGAACATACGTTTTCTCTCGATAAACCCTCGTCAGACCAGTGCACATATATAATCGAGCGACATCGGTCAGCAACAACAGAAGCGGCCGCAATCAGGTTACGAAAGCCGGCTTTGTGCGTGCAAAAGAATCTCGTTCAGGCTCCGTGCTTACCGTAAGTAAAAGTCGGATAACTACATGTAACTGTCTGCATTTTCCACTCTCGATATGCCAGTGTTTTAAAACGAAGTTTAATCGCTTTCTCATATCACTAACATGTTTGACCTGTATCCCATTCCCAAATAAATGTACTAGGCTGAAGAGAATTTGTCGAAAGCAAACGTATGCTCGTCAGCTAGTCGTCCGATTACGTATATTACTGTACAGATCTAAAAACGAATAAGTGAAGACGTTCGTTCGTCGAATTTATCTTTTCCGATGTTTAAATGGGTAGCCTAGTAAAACTCAAGCCTGAATTTCATGCTCAGACCACCAAGGAAGATCATATGCTTGGGTCTGTCATCACCGAGGATTAGAGGTCATTTCAACCTACTAAACTTCATCAGCCAACTATACCCGAACGTCAACTATTGATGCACCCGACACTTAAAACTGAGTTTGGTAGCGGATTTATCAGTTAAGCATAACTTTCTACTCGCTGACTACCAGAGACCGATGTCTCTAAGCCAAAAGTCCTTTATGTGATCTGAAACATGCAATATGATGGTATATATGATCTGAACTGCGAACTCGGAGGTAACTTCTCAGTACATCAAAAGAACAAGGTTGTTGTGAAAAATGAGACGTAATCACCTGAGCAACAACTTTAACATCACACCTGATGTCATGTCTTATTCTTATTCGAATGCTACACCCATTTGGCTAAAACTAGATTTATAAACCAAGACTTGTACCACCATGTTCTTAAGTCACTCGTGCGATCTTACTTGAAGGCTTGGTTTCTAATTATTCGACTTGCATGCAAGAATTCAGTCATTTAATTGGCACTACAACTGATGACGTAGCATCTGCTGGAAGGATGTCAGAATTTGCTTAAATTAGATTATGAAGACACATATCACGGGAATTTGGAGAACGTATGTATTTTCTGGTCATACGAACAAATCTGACTGAAAAATCAATATGAGATTTATCCGCCAGTTTGATGGACTTGAGAGGTCCTCATAGCAGTAAAATGAGAAAATATTGTCTAGATTTGCTATAACACATTTCACTCATAAGCAAACAATTAGTTTCAAAAGTGTATTCAAAAGACAATATGGCGAGCATACGTAAGATTTCGATAAATTTTCATCAGGCCTATACACTTATATTGCTATCGAAGTGATTAAAAAGAAAAATATAACGCGGAGAAGAAGAAATTTTCTGTAGCTGGGGTTTGGGGGGAGGGTCTGGGTGGGTGAGATGAAAAACAAAATTGTCGTCCGTGTCAGGGGGGGGGAGGGGATGTCGGGCAGTGGGACGGGTAATTATACGCAGGTGGCTGGCATGGTGGCTTAGGCCCACGGTAACTGTGGGGTCTGTACGAAGTTCTTTTGTGCGCATAAAACTGATTTGTATAGCCTGATTGCAGCCGCCTCTGCAGTTTCCAACAGACGCTGTCCAAGTAATTTTGCATAGCTTGACGGGACTTTGTAAAGCACTCGGAATGCCTGTCCGACATCTACACAGTGATCTGTGTCTACCATGTGGGCGAGAATAAAGCTGCTGACGCTCTTTACTTGATCCTTCTCTAACCGTGCTGGAAGCTGTTCTCTTATTCTTTTGGATAAACGCCGGCTCCTGCGACCAATATATTCTGCCCCACAGGAGCAGGTGAAGGAGTAAATGCATATCGAAGTATTCTGGTTCGGCAGTTTGTCCTTGCCCTCTCCGCGTAGGATGAGACTGGTGGAGAAGAGAACACGGACGTCAGCTGCTGGAAAGGTGAAGATGCCGCTTGAGTGAGGCGTCTTCTTAGAATTTCGCTTGGCACATCCCCATGGTGACTCTGGGGCCTGTACGATCCTAGATATGAGAAATTCGCCATACCATGGGGTAGCAAAATGGCTAGCGGAGAAACTTAAGCCCATACGGTACCACCTCGCATCACATTGCTATCGGGATACTTTTGAATTCGTTAACGACGTTAACGATCTCAACCTAAACGGAATGGTGATGTTTTTTCTAGAAGTCTCGTCTGTTTTTACGAACGTACCGGTACCGAAAACCGTCAACTGCCTCTGTGGATTTATTGCTTCTGTTCATCAGGATATAGGACTGTCGGTTTATGCATTCAAGGAATTGCTACTGAGATGTACCCTAAGCGCACAGTTCCTATTTGACAACAGTCTTTATAGGCAAATAGATGGAGTAGGTAATGGACTCGTCCCTTGGTCCTCTTTTGGCGGACATATTTATGGCTAATCTAGAAGCTTTCCAGCTTAGTCGCCAGATCAATGGTCTGAGATACTATGAACGCTACGTGGATGATATCTTCGCGATTGTACCTGAAGTAAACGACGTTTCAGTTCCACTGGAAAATGTCAATCAGGCGCACCCAACAATCAAGTTTACTATGGAAGAAGAGAAATGCGGATCGCTCCCCTTTCTGGATGTGTTTTTGAGTATAAGGCCTGACGGTAGTACTCGACGTAGCGTCTATCGTGAGAAGACGTGGTCCGGGCAATACACCAGTTTTGAGATTTTCGTAGCGCTAAACATGAAGCGCAATTTAGCCCGTTTCCTAACAAAAAGAGTAAGGAATATCTACTCGACTGATAGCATAGGGGAACCACTTAAGATTGTTGAAAATCTCTTTCGCCAGAACGGGTACCCCGACCGATGCAAGGCCAAGTACATGACCGAAGGACCACCAAAACTCCCGATGCTAGCGGCAAAAAAAGAAGACGATTTTCATCAGGGTCCCATTTCAACGGGATGCGCCAAGCGAACTTCTAAGAAGACGCCTCACTCAAGCGGCATCCTCACCTTTCCAGCAGCTGACGGCCGTGTCCTCTTCTCCACTAGTCCCATCCTACGCGCAGAGGGCAAGGAGAAACTGCCGGGCCAGACTACTTTGATGTGCATTTACTCCTTCACCTGCTCCTGTGGGGCAGAATATATTGGTCGCAGGAGCCGGCGTTTATCCAAAAGAATAAGAGAACAGCTTCCAGCACGGTTAGGGGAGGATCAAATAAAGAGCGTCAGCAGCTTCGATAGTAATATAAGTGTATAGGCCTGACGAAAATTTATCGAAATCTTACGTATGCTCGCCAAATTGTCCTTTGAATTCGCTACTCAAAAGTGTATCTTGAATGCAGTCATAGAACATAATTAGTTGGTATTTTTCACGTGAAGTTGATTTTCTCAGTGTTTCCATGGCGAAACGCTGATTACGTATGTCGACTCTCCATATTGGTAGGCTGTGAGGGATGGTAAACTGAAAAATTTGGCGATTTCAAAATACACTGTTACATAATTAGATCGCATACTAAGTCATTCGGAGGCCTGTTAAGTCGCTGGCAAATAAATAATATATCTCACATTGTGCAAAAATGGCCTCATACGCACATCTCGTATTGTGCTTTTCGTGGTATCTTATTTCGCGGAAATTTTGCTTCATCGATAGGACCTGCCCAGTGGGTAAAATGGATGCCAAACGACAGAACGTGCTTTGAAGAGTAAGTAGCGTATTCATAGTTTTCGCTGTTGGCTGCCAAAGCGAAAAACACCTTTTCTCAAAAAGGTTCTGTCTCTCTTTTGATCTGAGTCAGCGCATAGTCTGGTATTGTGCGCGTACCGCCTGCCGGGTTCAGGCACAACCGAATCCGCTTGTGGTTACATAATGCAGACTCATCGCTCGTTAGTGCAGCCCTCGGGTGACGACGGAGGTGGTGCTGGAGCGTTAGGAGCGCCGGAGGCTGAAAGTGTATCTTACTTACGTCACCCATCTGATGCAGGCAACCGTGCACTTGATAAATGTTTAAGTCGAATATGACAACTGCGAGAAAAGGCCTCCTTTACACCGAAAGAAAAGAGAGAACTCCTAGATTCATGCATTTCAGAATATACACCAGGTATACATCGAAAATTCATCTTGCAAGCAGATTTGGTAAAAACACCCTATCAGCAGCAATAGGACTTCATGCTCTAAGCGGTCTATGGAGTGCCGCAACCGCTGCTAGCTTTCCCATTTATAGTACACTGGCTTAACATTGACCAAGATGATGGGTAACCGAAATCTCTGCCTTAAACTGTGAAACCTAAATATACTCCTCACGATGAACCTCCTTCCTTTGTTTGGTTAATGGCGTAATCTAGGAGTATCGTGATCCGACCAAAGATTTTGGCGACTCTATTTAGAAGAATATGACGCCTTCGCCGTGTGAAGTTTCTAATCTCGAATATTTTAGTTGTAAATTCCGTGAGGTGCGTGTTCCACAGATGTTTTATTTGTGATAGATTCCATTGCATCAATCGAAGAAGGCCATATCATGGAAAAGGGCTGTGACTTGACAACTATCGTAACCATGGTGCGCCCTATTGCTTTCTTAAATTTTCAGCCCCATGAAACGTATGTTAATTTATGTGAATCGTCCCTCATTCTGCCGCAGTTACTTCAGATTAACCCAGACCTAAAATAATCATTTTTGATAGTTTTAGGGCAATAGTTGGTTTTTACTATCTGGTAGCTCTATGGTGGGATATGCTGAATGACATAACACAACTGAATTTTATTATCGCCAGTTCGATGGACGTCTGGAACGAGAGTTTGCTGTTTAGCATGACGTATTGGCTGCATCTTCGAGTCACAGCTGCAAGGATGTCTGGTAATTACTCTCTGGCGCTTTCTAAACGTTCGTGATTATTCCTGTTTTCCAGGACGCAGATTCTGCCGGCCTTCTAAATGCATCGATATAAAGGGCAAGGACGAGACAATATCACTAACACACACTTAAAATTTGTTTGGTCTGGCGAGGTAAGGTAAAGTTGGAAAGTCAAGAACGTTTTGATCATTTTTGCATAATAATCAGTAAAAAGGTGTCATTGGTGAATATAGATCAAATTAATAGAAACCGCCAATAGCATCTGCTTTGTTATCGTGTAAGATGAAAATTTCAAAGTGGCTAGCTAGACAAAGGCAACTGTAACTTAACATATAAGAGGGCTGCCCGTTTTCCAAAAAAAATATTTTCCTGCGCAGTTTATATTTCTGCAAAGGAAAACCTATGGGTTGAACACAAGGACTTTACAGCTTGATGGAAAATGTCTTTTGACATCTGTCGTAAGAAAAGAAACCCTTAAATTGAAGATGGCCTTAAAGTGAATGCATTGCCGTTCACTAGGATCTCAATTAAAACATTCAGCAATTCTGGCAAAAGTTGACTTTTGGCAGCAGATTAGCAAACCCAAAGGGATTAACTGACTTTGTTTCAGTTCCATATTTCGGCTATCAACCTTGGAGGCATTTAGGGGAAGGAACCTGTAAGTTGCATATATTTAAAAATGGTCTAGTTGTTTTAGGCCATTAACTCTGTTTTTAATTCTTTAATAAACGTTTTTCCTTGTTAGCGGTTCACAGCGAGTGTTTATTTTTTCCACAATTTGCATGTGGTTATAGTGCCGTTAGATTATTAACAAATTAGATATGAAAACACAAATTATTATTTTCTCGGCAGCATTTCAAGTTAAATGATTGGCAGTTGATTTTAAAAGTAGATTAAAGCCATATCTAACGATCTTACAGTTTGATACGTCGAAATTATCAGTTCGAATCAAGTGCACGGAACAAAGTAGTTAAAAACAGTCATAGATGGAATAAACTCATAAGCTGTCACCTGCAGACGTCAAATCCACCGTTCACTTCGAGTGTGAATTCTGTGTCCGGTTGGTAGTAACCCATCTAAGGGGTTCAAGCGCAGACCCTGCATTAAAATGCGTCCCATAATGTGTTATTCGTAAGCTCCTCAGAAGACGACTTAACCTCATGAGCCAATAAAAGCATTTGGCTAGAATGCAACAGCTGCCATGTAATTTGGAGTGGCATTATAAATTTCATTCCTACTGAAAATACTTTACGAGGACATTCGCAAAAACATCTGGGTTTGGATGTGGTAAGAAGGTATATGAGAAGTACAACACTGGATTTTATTTATAAGATCCGTTTAGAACGTGATGTTTACTTTGAAGATTTCTATGAATGTCGAATTTTTGTTTTCTTCGGGTACTCAGAACAGCGACTCAGTTCTAGACCATATTGCTACTGTGTCTAATTCATTCTTGTCATGGTTATACTTATGCAGTCGGAGTGGCAGAGTTAAGGGTCGAAGAGGCAGCTTCATCGGGAAGCTTAAAAGCGCTCACGTATAGTACTACGACCTCGGCAAGCAAAGGCAGCATAACCCCTCATTAAGAGCAGCACAAGCACACAGCAAATAAACTCGATTAGCGAGAACTAGGACGATTTAGGCGGGGATTAATTTCACATCTAATAAAACACAAACTGAACGCAAATGTCGGTGTGGATTTTTGTCACAAAGTCGAGGGATCTCTATCAGTTATGTTCCTTCGCTCTCCTTTAGAAGACCCAAAATAACAATCAGCAATATCAATATTCATTTGTATTCGAACGTTAGACTATAAAGTTACTAAGAAGCTTTGCGTTTTATCAAAAGTATGTAAAATTTAAAGCCTACACTTCATAATTAGTGTACGTCTTAGTTTAGAAATTTGAGACTAATTTAAAGTTTGTCGTCATATTATTTACAAGCGTTTTGCAAGGTGTTAGACAATCATCAGAACCATTTATGAAAAACGAAATTTTCAACATTTATCTTGGCTAATTTAACTTCTTCATGAAGGATGCCTTCTTCAAATGCCCGCTTTCGTTGACGGCACTTGTGTGAATCGGAGCGAGTGTATAAATACCAGATATATTTTAATACTTAGTTCTCAGGTTTATGAACCATATAAATTGTGCATAAATTGCTGAACTGTTGAAAACGGACTATTCAGGTGTTTCAACACATCTTAGTTATTCAAAATTGCTGTTTTGTCAAATAAATGTGTCTTCTCTGAATTTTGGAGCAAAAAACTTCAAATTTTTTTGCCGACCTTCAATATATGAACCAAATTAAAGATTTCCTACGGAAACAAATGAAGGTAAAACAGAGAAATTTACATACATGGGCAAAGATCTTCATTTTTTACAACAGACTGTGGGAAAATTAATATTTGGGACGACAGAATGCTTGCTTGAATCTCAACTCAGCAATAAATGCAAAACTCTGAAAGAGCATATGGAGACTTTATGATAAAACCCATAATGATGACAAGAGTAAAACCCAAGAATTCCTAATAAAGGTGGGCTGTGACGAAGACTTTTTAATAAGAAGTTAAATTCTAACTTAGTTTTACTACGAAAGCAGCGTCAAATGCGACTGTTAAAGGCAGCTGTTCAAGTGTGTGTCTCATTTTGTGATGCGGATTTCGTGTTCGGAAATTTCTTTCTAAACATATAAATGCCGCTATTTAGGTAAATTGTCTAATATATTACGGTCGGTAGTTTGAGGAGTTCAACAGCTCTGCCTTTCATTTTTGGGCCGTTAATTTTCAAGCAACCGGATCTTGTCGCGGTTAAGTAGTGTGAAAATGCAACGGCGATTATAGGTTAGAATTGTTATCACAAATGCGTTTGGGCTTATGGGGTTTAAATAAGTACACACTAATGCAAAAGCGGGCAATTCGACTTTGTTTATCCTTTACTGGAAATTTCCAGGATTACGCGGGAGTGATTGCATCTATCTGCCTTTTCGAGTTATCAAGACTAGCTCGACTACAATGACCCAAATCTAATCTTTTGCAAATCTCTTTTAAGATTTTCCAGGCAGGTGCATTTTTATGTAAAGCAATTTTCGGTCTTCCCGCCCTTGGGCGCCGACAGATTTTCTGTCCTGACAAGCTCTCGTTCAGATCTAAAGGATGTCTTAAAACACTCGAGGTCTGTGTAACGGTATTAAATAGCGTTAACAGATGAGTACGCACTCGGTTGTAGAGGGACCATATAAATCATGCAGAAATAGAGACTGATGAGGGAGATGTATAAGTGAGTAGACTTTCAAAGTTTTTCTTGCCTGTTACAGTCATCTACACCCCCGAACTTCACTCACGCCCCGACGAAAACCGGTGCACATTCACAACCAACTCATGTGATCACAGGTGGAGTCAGGCGGCAGG